ATAAATAAAAAAAAAAAAAAAAATTAATGAAAAAAGAAGAAACGAACCTTGATGAAGCAATCGTTGAAGGATAGATTATGCCTTAATGAATTCTGCCATCGTCGTGTGTCCTTTCGATAATAAGGAAATCGGTCGGCGATAAATTTGTATATTTCAGCGAGTGGTAACATTTTATCTCGCGAGGACCATATCGCCATTGCCGTGAGCGATATATAAGAGAAGGGTGGTTTTTGATCTCCGTAAGTATCGCGCGACGGCCGCGGCATTCTTGGAAAGCCAACAGCCTGACGACGAATTAACGAGCAACTTAGCCCGGGGCTTATCTCAGGATTAACTTCAACACTTATTTTTTCTTTCGATGAATTCGAACCATTAATCGACGATTAACTTTGACCACCAGCCAAAGAACTATCATTCTTCTCACTGCTTCTTCTTCTTCTTCTCCTTCTTCTTCTTCTTCTTCTTCTTCTTCTTCTTCTACTATGACTTAAGCTTGTGTTTTAGCTTCAATTTTGATTAGCTCAGCCACCTATAAAAAGCACCGATCCAAGCTTCTCATCCAAGATTAATCCCAATACATGGAACATTTCCCACTAATCTTATACTTTCATCATCTATTCGGCACCGAGGAAATTTAAAAAAAAAAAAAAAAGATACTCTTCTTCCTCACCGAATAAACACCGATCACGATCAAATTCGTCTTTATTTTATCATTTATTTTATTCACAAGATGATCCTGTTAGTCCCGACACTGTTGTTGTTAATTCACTCTCATGATGTATACGAACGTCACTTAGTTATTATACATAAATCGTCTTGGTATCTAACGAGATAGGAGGAGAGAGAGAGAGAGAGAGAAATAAAGAAAGAGAGAAATAGAGTAAAAAAAAGGACACTAATTATTAAAAGATTTATGTATAACCGAAAGAAAGCGTAGATACTATAAGAGAGTCTTAGGGTATACTGTATGAAAAAGCTTGGAAATCTAAGCTCCCACGATCGTGTCTCCACGGATACTGGCTACTAACCATACCCACACCCCCGCAACAAGTTCCCCTACTCAAACGTTGGCACGGTAGCGCCTGGGATTGGTTGACGAGGAGCCTCCTCGAGTCCTAGGTCCCACCTGATATTATGGCTTGCCTCCAATCATCGCTCGACTTTCTTTCACGTTAAACCCCTACTCTGGTAAGATAGTTGACGATGGGCGTTTTAGCTAGATACGAGGTGGGTATATTTTCTCTCTTTTCCTCTCTTTTGCTCTCTCTATATCCGTCCTTCTCCGTCCTTCTTTTCATCGACAAACGCATACTCTTGTTCGCAAAACGGAAGGTGGAGTCGAATCAAGCGAGAACCGTCCCAAGGAACGAGAGGATTCCTCTTGTTATTTTATTTTGTCTTCTCACATCCCCCTCCCCCTAGCCGGCAACAATCCGATCTCCATGCGTATCGAAGAGGCCGGACGAAGAGCCCTTCCAAGGATGGAGGACGGACGGTGCCAGAGGACGGTGCCAGAGGACGATGCCAAAGGACGGTAAGAGAGGACAATGTTCCCTGCGTTGTTGCAGCCACCAACCAATCGATTCAGCCGTATGCTCGATGTTTAATGCACGAGTGCACGCCTACCTTGCAGAAACGTGCCTTCGAGATTGGAACATTGTCTTTTCTCTTTTCTTTTCCATTCAACTTGCGCGCGCACACCTTCTAACAAAATCCCCAAGTGGAAGAAAGGGTAAATGCTCCCCTTTTTTTTTTTTTTTTTCTAACAACAAACCCCCTAACATATCCGTGGTTACGCATTTGACGTTTTAACGCAGTATATACAATTATTTCCTCAGTTTATCGATTTGTACTTTCCTAATCATTCTATATCGCATTGATGTCTCCCGATTCTTCGAGTTAAATGATGCAAGTATAATGCTAAATGTATGTCATTTTAAAGTGATTCGAATTGATTTAAAGGTCCTAATATTTATACTTATTTACTTTTATTAATTGTCAAACAAATCTTACATATAGATCATCGTAAAATCGTTTAAATGATTATATTAATAAACTTGAAATATTCTTCTTTTCTTTTTTACCTCGCGTATTGAAATTTCTTTGCTTGATCTGTAAAAAATTATACAAATTTTGTAAGTACTTTAATATAATCAGCTGTAATTTATTATATAACCTGAGCACGTGTAAAACATAAATCTTAACTAATAATAAATTAATATTATCCTCGATATATATATATTACAATATAAATATGTACAGTGTGTGTTGAAACGTAACAGTCGGTAATAGAAGATTTCTGTTTTGTTATCGATAAGAAAGAATCTTTACATTGGTATTTGATGGTAAGATAAATTCCTGTTTTACTCTCGATTAATAGTCTCCTGTTTTTCCGTCAGTTATGTAAATTTCTTGTATTTTTTCTGCCCGAAAGATAGGCAACCCGTTATACATACGTGTATAAACAGTTTTGACTGCAAAAAAATTCCGTCCCAGTAGATGGCGCTCGCAAGCAATATTTTCAAAGTGTGTCTGGAGGATTGCTTACGAACAGGCGCGCATTTTTTTAATTAAATTAATAACTAAATAAATAATTAAAAAATACGAAAACAGAAGTTTCATAGATATTATTTCGTAGCGACCTTAACACATAACCGAAAAATTGCTAAATCAAGTCTCGATCGAACGACCTGTTTTGTTCTGCAATTTAAATTTTATTTCTGTATTTTTTATTTTCATTATTGGGGAGAAAGGGGGAAGATATTTTTTATTCATTTTATCTTTTTCTCAATAATATAGGATAGGTTTTTAGCGAAGGATCTTGAGTGCGGGTCGAAAAATCGCAAGACTCAGCATAAGATTCGCCGTTTCCTTTTGTTCAACTTTATTTGCTAAAGACAAATTACATTTGAGATTGCGGTGTACGGTATAAAATAAGGTGCGTTGCTATTTTGAGATCAAAGGTGAAAAGCGTGTATTATATCGTAAAGAAAGAAGAGAAAGAAAGACGCGACGCTGCGAGTTACGGCGACGCCAGCGCACGAAAGTCGGCTCTTGGTCGAAGCTGTTGTTTGCATAAGCTACCGCTAGGTTCGGGCCGTGACTATTCTTTGTAGACAGTAGCTTGCATTTTCCTAATCGTAATTGGTCGAAAGTATTCAATCGTAATTTAAGAACGTTTAATTGGACCGATATTTAAACCAATCAACTTGTACGTATTAATGTTTAGAAAGCTCCCATTGGTTGATCGTTTAAATACTCAGAAATGGTTGTTGATTATTGGTCCAATAGGAAATACGTATATCCAATGGGATTACAGAATAAAATGTAAAGATAAATAGCATTATAAAGTTGCCTTTATCACGTGATGTATTCATCGCGTCAGTCTTGTTGCTAGTTTGCTGCGTGCTTAAAGCACGGTGTGTAAGTGTAATATTAAAACGTTTCAAGAATTGATTTTATTTAAATATCTTTAAACTATAAAAAAAAAACGTCCAAAAGTACGCGTATGTAATACATCTTTCATTATTTATATTCTTAGTACTTAATTGTATAATTTAGGTCATTCAAAAAAAAACATTGATTCGTTACGGTACCATAACCATTTTGATCTAACATTCTATTTTCTTTAAGTTTCGATTTGTAATGAATTTTGATGATATCCTATATATGACATATCTAATTAGATTTGTTTTTATTAGAAATATCTTCTATTCGCGAATTTTGAAAGATTTGCTCGATATATTTGTTTGTACATGGATTAATCGCGGATTGAGTATAATTTAACTGATATTTGAATATTGATTAACCCTTGGATTGGCAATGCTCTCTGAAGAATCCTAGTCAGTCGGTACCAAATCACTTGTTACTTTTACTAAAACTTATCTATGTATTTTGAATTCAGTTTATTCATTAAGTTTTTCCTTATTTTTATCTTATTAACAATATATTTTTTTTTATTTATCAAATATTAAACATTTTGTACTAATTCTGTAAATTCTTCCATTTGTTACCAATTTGATACAATTCTCTATTGAAAAAAAAATTAAAGTAATGCATCTTTCTTTCCTATCTTTGTTTCTATATATATAATAATACCAACGTAATTAGTTTTCTGTTAATGCATGCCCTAATTATTATGATAAATTATATTGTTTATAACAAATTGAAAAAAAAAGCCGATTTCATTGACTTGGATTCACTATTACCATTACATACAAACATATCTAAAAGCTTGGACATGAACGATTAAGTATAGTAGCATAAAAATGAATAATCTAAATTTGTACATTGATATTTCACTAAGTTGAAATAATATGTAATGTGCATTAAATTAATACATTCATATGTATTAAATACAATGCTATGAATAAAAAATTCGTTGATTCTCTTATAATAAATGATAAATTTCATATTCGAAAGAAATCCATTTATTTAGTTGAATATGAAAAAATACATGTTTTAATAATAATAATAATAATGCGTAACGTTAATATAAATTATTTATAAATTTAGTAAGAGAAAAATATCATAATACTAATAACTGTCATATAAATGATATTTTGTTATAGAAATGTCTGAATCAGATTTATTAGCTAATGACCATATTGATGGCCTTGATGGACTAGAAAATGGTCAAGATGGTGATGCTATTATGCAGTGTGACGCAGTTAAACGCGAATTGAATGAAGCAAATATAGATGACCCAGTATGTGATAATTAAATAACAATATTTTGTATGTTTTATTAAAATATATGCTCTATTTGATCATATTATAGGAACTAGAAGCAATAAAGGCGCGTGTTAGAGAGATGGAAGAAGAAGCTGAAAAACTAAAACAACTTCAGTCGGAGGTGGATAAACAGATGAACATGGGTAGTCCACCCGGAATCAGTAAGATATTCTTTTTTATCTCTATCTTATATTTCAATCCTTATTTTAACACTATACTGTCTGATGACACCACGTTGATGTCATGCAAAAATTATAAGTATTCAACAAAATCTAAATAATTAGATAAACATATACATAAACATATTATACAAAAGAAATAGAGGGATAGGATTTCATCAACGAATTCAGTTTTTAGATTGGTCATGCAGACGACATAGTGTTAATAATAATCACATTTATTTTCCCTCATTTATATATATAAAAAAAATCGTTTATTTCAGCAAGTCCATTGAACATGTCGCTCGAAGATAAGATGGAAGTTGATAATCGTTCTATATACGTTGGAAATGTAAGTTAAAAATATGAAGACACAATATTCTCGATAATATCATACTTTTTTCTTATACATAAAAAAAAAAACATTTTCTTTATGGTTACAACAGGTAGATTATGGTGCCACAGCTGAAGAATTAGAACAACATTTTCATGGTTGTGGTAGCGTCAACAGAGTTACGATACTTTGTAACAAATACGATGGTCATCCAAAAGGATTTGCATACATTGAATTTGCTGAACGTGATTCCGTACAAACTGCCATGGCTATGGACGAATCTATGTTTAGAGGACGTCAGATAAAGGTTATGCCAAAACGAACAAATAGACCAGGACTTTCAATGACAAATAGGTATGAAGATTGATAATAGATTGGTATCTAAGAAATAAGTTATGTGAATAAAAATGAATATTCATTGTAGGGGGCCTAGGGGTGTACGTGGTTATCGTGGTATGGCTCGAGGGATAATTCGTGGCAGTGCATACTTCGGATACAGACCGACTAGAAGACTAAGGTATTTAATAGTTTAGATATTTTCTATTAACCCTTTCGCTACTACGGACCACTATAATGGTCCTCCATAAGATGCCACTGAGATATTACTTTTACC